GTGCTGCCCATGGGCAGCATGACTACACCATTAACCTTTTATTTGCCATTTTATTAAGTAACCCAGAAGATCAGAACACACGGTGAATTTATTCAGACGGGACGATGTAAGTGCAGCAGAAATGACAGAAGCTACAGATTCCACAAGAGTTTAGAGAAAGCATTAAAGAATCAGAGAATATCAGGAGCTCAAAAATGACTCAAACCGTCCAACAGCTCATATAGCGATGAATAAACGAGAAACTGCCACAAATACCCCAACAGGTTTCAGTTTATATTTGAATCATGGACAGAAAACAGCAAAATCTGTTCAACAAACCCACCACTCACTCCACCATTATGCAAATGTATGTCTGAAGCAGCAAACCAAGAGTTTAGAAAGCAAACAAATCATTTAAAATCCCCACAAAAACCGCTTCCTATAAATGACTCAAACAGACTTCACTGAACGCGAAAGCTGATCCACTTTTTACATTTAACCAATCAGGTTTCCTGTATATTAATTGAATAACAGCAGTGCATTTTCTGTACACTCATTGTACAGTCGACATCCCAGACATTTTCCAAAAAGAATAACATAAGACAGCCCGGCTTAACCACCCACTTTAAATTTACACAGCACATAGAGTAAGATTACAACGTGTGCACAAAACATTCTTATTTTGCCCTTTATATACAGTAAAGATACTTGTTGGAGCTATTTGTTCTTATTTTTTATTATTTTGAAATTAGTTAAAGTTTGTTGTTAGTTTACTTATATTTTGGGGTTTATTTACGAGTTTATTTGTCGGTTAATATTTTGTTTCAATGTTTGTTTGATGTTACTGTAAATTAGTCAGGAAGAGCTGTAGTTTGTAGTTTGTTACTATAAATAAAGAGACTGGTATAGGACCAGCATGCACTGGGGTGGGCCTCTGTTTTTTTACCAGAGCAGGAGAAGCAGCAGGAAGTAACAAAAAATGGACAGTGGACGTCTTTTGCCTGCGTACGAAATAGTATCTCGGTGCAGCAGTGGCTCGTGGACTTTTAATCGTGGGATGTTTGGTTTGTCAAACAAAAGGAATTGCCACTACAATACTAAAATGTAAATAGCTGTTAATTTCATTTAATTTATTAATATTACAATTTAAAAAGTCAAACATCATCAAATACAACGCTCTTTTCTTTGTCAAAGTACAAATGAACAATCAGAAGACACGAGTGCAAAACATCGATGTGTGGTACAATATAAGGAAACTGGGGAAGACAGTTGTGTTCTGTGTGTGGCAATGTCGATTTTCATCTTTACATGTCTTAATACATACTGGTACTTTTTGAAAAAGTCCGTTTGTTCAAAGAGTTCGGACCACTTTGCTTTTTTCTGCTCTATTTCCAGGCAGATGGCGTGACCTGTGGATGAGGAAGGAAATAAAAGTGGTTAGAGTCCAGGTGTAATTAAACCCCCTCGCTTTGCTTACAGAGGAACATCCCCGATGTTGTGAGTGAAACAGTCCGAACAGTCCAACTCAACTCAGTGAACAGTTTCTTCACATTGGAGCAAACAGAAAGGTTCAAAGACTGTTCAATTACGCTTGTATTTATGGTGCTTTTAATCTCTAACCTCGATCAATCTCCTCATTCAAGATGGCAAACGTGGACCGAGAAACGTTGACTGAGGTGTTCTGCTGCGGGTACGCCGGGGTGATGATGGGCATTAGGTGACAGCGGTCACGTCGATTGACCTGGAAATGCAGAAGCACCTTTTACTTGTGCTTTTTGAAAATGTTCATTTATTAAACGTCTGGTGGTGGTGACTCCACAAGATTTGTTTTTAGCTGGGCATACCTTGGTATCCCAAAAAGGAAGGTTGTAGTTGCATTTTTCTACTTCCATCAAGCGGATTGGGATCGGCCACACCCTGAGACAAAACATATGAGAGTTTCACAGCAGCTGATCCTTGTTTGCATTGGGTGTTGACACTGCAATTTAAAAATAATTGGGTGTTTTTTCATCAATGAAATGGGGAAAAAGTGAGACAAGTCACCACATGGAGAAGATCTTGAAGAATTTTATCACCAGGGTAGAAGCGGTAGCATTTGGGTACACCTGACAAATCCTGGCTACCATTATGGCCCACGATACACCGCCCAAGAAGCCCAGCTTGTTGGAGTAAATGTTACGCTCTGAAGGGAAACAACAGAGAACATTAGACTTCAGCATCTATATTATTATCTCAAAGCACCCTTTAGGTATCTGATAAGACTTTTATAGTTTGCATTGCTGCTGCTTCCTAATACTCAAATTGGTACTTGGACAGGTACTAGTCACTGAGTCGCTAAACAATAAATCATGACTTATTTTTTGGCCTGTGGACAGAAGACTATGTCAAAATACTAACAGATGTGTCAGAAGGTAAACTACTCAAGGTCTACATTTTTTATTTCAGAATGTAAGGCGCGTGCTTGAATAAAATGCCAACATGGCTTAACAATATGAATATAAATGTGTAATTATCTTGCAAGTTGAAAGTCCGACTCACGTTTGGCCCATAGTTTGACGGCTCTCAAAGCAACCCTAAAGTTGAGAACATTGGGTACCAGCCTGAGAATCTCTTCTGTAACTCTGTAGCCTAAAGACAAGAAATAAAAGTCGAATTTTGTTTTATTTATTTATTTTTTAAGGGTGTTAATTGCTAATTAGCAATTTAATTACCAATTTTTAATCTGACACTTACCATTGAAACTTCTGACACAGCGTGCATCTACAACGTTCTTCACTATGCTGTTATTGAGGAGGTCAAGGTTATCAGGAACGCTCCTCTGAGACAGCAGAGCGAAGACTAAGTCAATCTTTTAAGTAAGACAAACACAAAAACATGATTAAGACAGATGCAAAAACACTGAATCATCCTGCATTATTAAAAAATTTGCTCTCTAAACAAATTACCTGTATCCCTTCCCAGGACAGTGTGATGACCGGGACGTAAGCCTCTTCGATGGCCTGAGGACAATGATACCGTCAGCTTGCACAGAATAGCAAAATGTCATTCAACTTTTGTACAATGACTCGGTGATGTGACTGACCTGTATGTCTTTGACCTCCTTCTGAGCTTTCAGCTTTGCAAAGAAGGAGGTGAAGAAGGCTTTTCTCTCAAGGAATCCAGGTCCAACACACAGAGCATCAATATCAGCACCTGTCAAAATGGCACTATTTCAGATAAAAGCAAAGCCAGGGAAAGAGCTAACTACTGTCCTTTCACCGTGTTCTTACAGAAAGTTAGCACTGAAAGATGCCGTATAATCACAAAGACATGCAACGTTTAATTGCACAACAACATTAAATAATGTCTGGGTAATTACCCTTTGAGTGAACTCCCAGATGATACGAGCCAAATGGGAAGATCTTGCCTCCAACTTTTTCTGTAACCACTTTAGGTACATTCTAAAAATCAAATGACATCACCTATCAAAATAAACTCTGTGCAACTCTCTTTGTTTTTCAGATTTGGAGATTATTTTTAAAAGAAATGCTTATAAATTCTTACCATTTCTATGCACATTTCTTTGAGCCAATCCCTAAAGAGGGACTCCAGTCTTTTAACAACCCTTTCTCTGCAGATGAAACAGAGCATTTTGAAATTTCTCTGAAGTGAAGGGTGCTATGCAGTCAACTGCTTGCTCTGACTCTTTCTCAAGGTGATGCAACATTAAACAGGGCTGGAAAAAATATGTACCTGTGCTCCAATTCTAAGTTGTTTTCATATACATTGTAGGATTTCATAGTGTCTAACAGTTTTCTGGTCTGGATCAAGTTGTCCTCTTCAGGTAGATCCTCGCTGATTGGACCAGTGAGCCCATAGGTCCTTGGCATGTCTGACCATGTGGGAGCTTGGCTCCTGTTTGGAGTAAAAGGAAAATGCTAGTGTACTAATGGGAAACCTTAAAAACAAATAACATTATGAAAAAACTAACAATATGCATAAAATGTACTTGCGCCAACTATTTTGTTACGAAATTTTAAATATGATTCCTATTAATCCCATAACAAATCCGTAACCATAACAAAGACCGGATAGCAATGATGTGTTTTAGCTAGCTAAATTGCTGAAAAAGCAGCAAGAAAAAGGGGACGCAAGTACTTACTGAAACATTGTTGCACTTGTTTCCTTACAGTCAGGTATATCTTGCTTGCTTGCTTTCTCAAATCAAAACAGCGCTAATAATAACAAGCTCCTTGAACGTTCCATGTTCAGCAATGAAGGTGAGCCGCAGAGGAACAGTGACACGTGACGTGAGCCCCAGGTATGTATGCTTTTAAAGCTGCATTAAAGTGCACATGAAACACGACACGTATCAAGGGTAATTTACACAAAAAACACTGTAATAGATAAACAGTAATAATTTAACTCTGTCCGTGAAGCTGGATTTAAGAAATAAGCGTACAAACCTAAAGTTTTTTGAACAGCGCCCTCTTGTGTCAGTACAGAAAGTGACCTCACTGGGTTGGTTGCTGCTTATGGAGTAACATTAGTTATTAGCTAAGCTAACTAATAACAGAACCGGTTACTGAGTGGAAAAGAAGGCTGTTATAAATAAAAACAGCCTAAGAGAATTCATTTTATTACCCCTGGCTGCAACAATTTTTTTTGTTAAAAAATAAATAGATAAATAAATAAATAAATAAATAAAGGATAGGCTGTCACTTTATCGCTTAGGCAGTATTTATTATTTGGCTAGCTGCACTGAAAGGGGAAGATCCACTTGTTAGGAATGATGGTTGGGTGTCCATGTCAGCTGTGCCGAGCTGTGCAATTACAATTAATATGTGTGGATCATGTCCACTTTAAATTTATATTGGCGCAGTTAGAGTAGCTAGGTCTTAGTTTTGTCTCAATATAAAATATTTGAATTTGATATTTAAATATAAGCAAAATATTTATCTATTACCTGTGATATTACATTAAAATATTACTCTATTTCAAACGAAGCTCGTTGTTTTGAATATCATTAAGTGTTTAACTATGCATATAACTTATGCAATAAGTCTGAATTAATGAATTAATTGTTTGTTATTGTGCTTCATTATTATAAGGTTGCTCTAAAAAGCCCCAAAAGCTTCCAGGTAGTACAAAACACTACAGCGAGAGCTCTGACAGGGACAAGAAAGACATATTTCTCCTATACTGACTTCTCTCCATTTGCTCCCTGTTAAATCCAAAATTAAATTTAAAATTTCTTCTCCTTACCTACAAAATCCTAATTAGACCCCATCATGTATTAAAGAGAATATCTGAAAGGGATTTCTGCTATCAGACTCATATGAAACCAGCTTCCAGTTTGGATTCAGGAGACAAACACTCTCTCTGGTTTTAGGATTAGACTCAAAACTTTACCCCGTACTCGCTCTCTATTTTTTTCTTTTCTCTTTCCACTCACCCTCACCCGGTCATGACAGAGGGCTCTCCCTCCCTGGGCCGAGTTCTGCCGGAGCTTTTTCCTTCCCACCGTTCAAGATTCAAGTCTTTATTTTCATTATTCAAGCGTAACAAAATTGCACCTATACTCCCTCACATGGTGCAAAAATATTTAAATAACCAATTAATATACTAACATGTGTATTTGTGTGTCTGTGAAAATATATGGGCTTATACATGCATATACCTACATTATGCATATATTATATACAAACATATGTAGTTCTGGAGGATGTAAACAGTAAAATGAGATTACTGCAGATTAGGAATGAACATCAGTTTTTCACAGACCATATGTAATGTGTATATATATGATCCTTGTGAAACTGAGCATTTCACTTTAATGTTATTTACAGATAATGGGTTACTGGCCTGGGTTAGGAGTTAGGATGCTCTGATAGCATCATCTCAAGTTCTGAGGACCTGTGCTAAACATTTGTCTGGCTTCTGAATGCAAATAATACCAGAAAGATGGGGATGGGAAGACAGCATCAGAGGACAGCTACTGTACATGACCCATGTCTATCCTGGGACAGAATGTTGATGTGATAGAGAAGTATCACAAGCTGCCAGTCCACGACAACAGCAGTCTGAACTGGCAGACTAACATAGAGGATATATACAAAAAAGGTGCTTAACAGGTTTTGTTTCCTAAGGAAGCTGAGATTTTTCAATATGTGCAGCAAAATGTTGAAGTTTTCCAATCAGACTCTATCTTATAAAGATTTAATAAGCACTATTCAGACTTTTGTAGCTCTCCCTCTAATAGAACCCCCCCCCCCCACACACACACACACACACACACACATTTAACGTGTCAAATTTGGTAAAGGATGAGGTGAGGAGGTGGTGACCATCTACAAAGGTCTGGTTTGTAGAACAGGCCTTTCAGGTTTGAGATATTCTGGGTGCATAATGTCACTGCAATGCTACAGCCAAATAATGAGACCTTTAAATAAAGTAAGCCTACACTAAGGTTACGTTTCATAAGGAAAAGAACAACAAAGTTGGTAACTTTAATTACTGTTTTTTAAGATAAATCTACTTATATTTTGATTATATTTTTGCATGTCCACTGTAATAAGCAGACCAAATGCACAGAATGACTGTAAAACGTTTCGCCACAGTGAAAATAACAAAATCCATCCTGCAATTTGTTAGGCTAAGACACAAGGAAATTTCCAGGCAGTGTCAGTTATCCAGAGAACCCTGAACGCAGCATACAGAGCAATGAATTGAGGGTTGAGAAGGACGGTGAAACAAAAATGGACATCGATCGAAAATAGGCTGGTAAAATTGACATTTTATATTTTCACGTAAAGACGCTGATGCAGATTAGGTGTCGAGGTAGAGTGTGGACCAAAAACGTAGAATAATTTTCAAAAAACAGATTGTTCCTTCAGAGCAATGACTGCTAGTTCCGTTGCTAAGTTAGCCTCCGTAGCTTAGAAAGGTATGCTAGCTGTGTGGAACATTAAAGGAAGGACACTGGCTATTAGCTGTGTAATCGATTTTAGCTAGCGGTTGCTAATTTGCCTTAAATCATGTGAAATCTTTTTATGAACCGACTGTAACGCTTGCAGCCGTTAGTTCACTCCCCCTTTTTACGCTGCCCTCGATTTCTCGGTCAGCTGTTGTTGTTATTGCTTGTTGTTGATACACTGAAACGTTATTTCATCTTGTTGGACAGACTTTCACTCGCGTTTTTGTTAATGATGAGGAAACAGTAAGCAACCAATGTACAGCAATGGCTACACGAATAAAGCTTGTAATTGTAGAAAATGTTTTATGTTGTTGGTTGTTGCCATCGTTGTAGTTCCTGTAATGGCCTCGAGATGTCGCTGTTTAGTCTTACAATCAAAAACTAGTATTATGGTATATTACATCTGTATAAAATTCTTTGTTTATTATGTTTTTGAGAAATACGTTACCTATACATAAAACCCCTGTTGAAGCCGGTTATACCTCCTTTCCCTTTTATGTTTTTGCCCAGTGTTAACATATTTTTGTATTCCTAATTTCATGACAGGTGATCTGTGTCAGAACTCTGACGGGCACTTCACAGAAAAGAAAAGTGAAAGAGGCCAGAGTTCAGAGCCATGGAGGCTCGCTTTGGGAATATTGTGTTTAGCTCCAAGTTTGACTCAGGGAACCTGGCACGCGTGGAGAAGGTGGAGAAAGGCAACTCCAGCCTTTCTTCTGACACACCTGCTAGTGGAAGCTCCTCCTCTGGGTCAAGCCTCACCCCTGATTATGAGTTCAATGTGTGGACGCAGCCAGACTGTGCCGGCACAGAGCACGAGAACGGAAACAGGTAACCAAAATTAAATTTTTCGTGCCACACCAACTTTACCACATTAGATGACTTAAAGTGTCCCATGTCATGTTGTGGTTTTTCAGATCATGGTTTTACTTCAGTGTGAAGGGGGCAGCACCTGGGAAGTTACTGAAGATCAATGTGATGAACATGAACAATCAGAGGAAACTCTACAGCCAAGGCATGGCTCCTCTCGTACGCACTTTACCGGGCAAAACCCGCTGGGAAAGGATACGAGACAGACCAACATCTGAGGTAGATATTCACTCTCTGAGCCTGTCAGAGAGACGATGTGGGCAACAGGACTCTGTGAGGCAGAGTACTGCCTGTCAGGCTATTATTATCCATCTATAAATATCATTCTTCTTCTTTTCTTCTGCTGCTTTTCAGATTGTAGATAACCAGTTCATCCTTTCATTCACTCACCGGCTATTGGAGGTGAGAGGGGCTACCACCTATTTCTCCTTCTGCTACCCATTCTCTTACACAGAGTGCCAGGAGATGCTGCAGCAGTTGGATCAGAGCTACCCCAGGGCTGCTCAGCTCAGTCCGAGCAGGTAAAGCGCACAAATGACACAACTATGTACACACAAATTTGGAATCTTTTCTTTGTCAAAGTACCTTAAATGTGTACAGTTCTCTAACATTTTTTTTCCTTAAACTCTTTCCTGCACTGCTCCCACTGCTAGTACTCCAGGCACTGTGTATTATCATAGGGAGTTGCTATGCCACTCTCTAGATGGCAATAGGGTGGACCTTCTCACTGTGACCAACTGCAGCGGGATGCAGGATGAACGGGAAGCCCGTCTGCCCAAGCTGTTTCCTGACACCAACACTCCAAGACCACACCGCTTCCCTGGCAAAAGGGTATCATTTAATCATACACAAAAACAAAACAATCACTATTGTGTAAAGGTCCCCTATAATGAAAATTAGTTTTAGACCATTATGAGATTTTTTTAAATACATTCCCGTGTGTAAAGTATGTCTGTGAAGCAAAGTTACCTAGTCACCTAGACCGCCTCCAAGCAGTTAGCCTCCCCCCATGAAGAAAAGAGTAAACTAGTACATTCGCACATAATCAACCCATAGCTGCTTGTTTCTTCCTCGGTGAGTCTGATGTAGCGAGTTATAAG